ATATTTCTTATAATATTTATTTATTATTTCCTTTTTTCCAATCATACGCAGATAAACTTGTAGTAGTTGACTGGCTGGAAGGTTTGAAACGTAATATGTAGAAAGAGCATGTTACAATCAATATAAATAAAATAAACCCCTTAAATAATATTAAAAACATTTTTAAAATATAAGCAGATTACTTACCTTGTACATTTGAACATCGAGTTCTCGTGCGTCGATTTTATTGTTGACGTAGAAAATAACAAGTTGATTGCCTTCGTATAGAAAATGCCTGTTTTCAAAGTCATACTAAAACACAATGGTAAAAATTTCCATAATGTATTTAAAACTACATAAATCAAATTAATAGTAATTTTCAAACGAAGAACAGAATGAATGTTGAAATTGGAGTACTTACTGTGTGTGTGCAAAGCGAAAATGTTTGTTGTTGTACCAGGGAACCGAGCCCTGCTCGGGAGCGGATAATGTAGTTTTAATAGTAAAAATAAAATAAAATGTTATTACATAGACAAATATAATTAATTCACGAATATTAACAAACCATTAACATTTAATAGCAAAAACAAGAATAACTCTGCAATTTCAACATATGCAATAACAAGAAATTGAGATAAATATATTTGAACTTATTATTTATGTGCGTTACTTTTATAGAATCTTTCTCACCTATCGTTATTGAAACCCGTGGTTCATTTTTACGCTTACCAATCACAGAATGAAAATTATAAAATATACAAAATCGTATTGGTTTCAAAATATAGCTTTGTAGTATTCATCATGTTACCCGAAGTCTTTATATAGCGTCGATATGTTTGGTGAACACAATTTTTGATCTTGCACTATTATTTACAAAGAAATTGAGCTTCTGCTTTTTCATTTGGGTTTCGGCATAAAAGTTGTATTCCAGTTAAAATCCTTTTACTTTTACAAATATAGGTTTCCGTAAACTATAGGTCTAGTTTTATCAAAACCATCAATAAGTTTTGACCAATTCTATGACCACTTCCAATGCGCTTTCCAAAAAAGATCGTGTGACGTGTGATTTGTTTGCTTTGTACTAAGCTTAATTTTTCTGTAAATAAAATTTTTATATTCAGCTCAAGCATACTCCGCAAAAAAAAAAATACTCCTGTACAGACATAGCATCCTTATTGATTACATGAAGATATTATTGGTTAGCGAGATATCTGCGGTTTTTTCTGTAATTTAAATTAATATAGACACCTACGAAGGATCTTTTTGAAATTTAGGATACAATAATTATAATACAACACAAGAGTTAAAAGCTTTTAGAGAAATAATAATCTATTTTAAATATTATTTTTGGTTTCGAGATGCGGTGAGTCCAGAGCTGTAAGAAGAGAACAAAGTCCTAAAAAGCCTCAGTCCAGTAGGGTTTCAGCCCACTGGACTGGAACATCACGAAGAAGAAGAAGAAGATGAACTGCCACTGCTGTCTCGATTAAGAACAATCTCATTTTCCCGAGTCAAACAAGATGCAAAAGTTGGGAGATAATATTGGATGACAGGAAAGATAGTTGAAGGTACAATTTTCAGTTTGGAAGACTCAGGTAAAATTTAACCAAATATGTAAACAGGTTTAAATTTTACTTGTAAAGTCAATGCATCGAGCACCAAAATGTGTTTAGTATCCAAATCAAGAATTAAGAATGTACTAGTCAAAAAACACATTACACTTAAGTGCATAAGACCTTGTCAATATGACTTAATACAATAACGTAATATAATATTGAAAAAAGGTTTCAAATATTCTTTTACGCTATAATGTTACCATGACTCTAACCTAGCACTTGACTTAAAAGTTAAGTTAAAAAAACAGAAATGATATTCAGTGTGTTTAAAAAGTTCCGCCTGTGGTCCGATTTTTATGAAATTTGGAATGTAGGTACTAATTGATGGCATCTCTAGGTGTTTTTTTCATTTTTTTTAAATTTTGATTTTTAATGGGGAATTTCTCATAAAAACCCATAAAAACCCGAAAAGTCTGATTTTCTCGAAAACGGCACGAACGATTTGGATACAAGTTTAGTATGTTGTAGCTTTTTAAATTCTAACAAAATATTAGAGCTCCCATTCCTGTAAAAATTACAATTCAAAATTATTGTAAATAACTATGTTATATTCCCATAAAAACAGAAAATAAAAGAAAATTGCATTTTCGAAATGCAACCATATATTACTGTAAAAATTACTGTTTGAAAGTTATTGCACCTTTTGTTATTTTCCATATAAAATGCCATCATTGTTATGTGCCGTGTGTACGTGCTCAACGCTCAACGGTACAGTTTCATTTGTTGCGTGGCTGGTACTCAGTGGCTGTGTCTGCCGGGCGTTTCGTCTGTTCACTTTTGTGTCACCCGTTTCTCAATATTTTTGGGTTCGAGGTTGTTCCAAATACGGGGCCCTCATCCGGAAGAGTTTTCTTCTTGTGTACTCTGCAGATGTTCCTTCAGAGGTCCTTTTCATTTCCCGTCAACATGACATACTTTAGCTAAGAGTTCTTCACCCACGGGTAAGTTAAATTCGCCAGGCCTAGTTCTCGCTTATTTTAATTTGTTTAATTTTTTCACTGTTTTACTATTGTTCAGAAATGTTTTCCAGAGTTATTTTCATGCTTATTGTACTGTTTTCTGAGAGTTCCGAGTCCACTAGATAACACAATGTGCATGGCTCGTTGAGTTAACTTGGTCAGTACAAGTGATATTTCCAGTTGATCCTAATTTCATGTTTAAGGTTAAAAACCAAGTTAGCAAAGCGTTAATATCATTTCTGTGTAATTTTTTAGTCATTTTGTGTAATTTTTTGTGTTTAATTGTGAGCTGGTCTGGACCCAATCATGTCAAAAGCTTCTGAGCTAGTTCTAACTTTGTTTGTGCTACTGTAGTAACTTTTTGCTAGCCTAAATCTTTGCTCTGATCAATTCTAGTAGCCTAGCCAAGATAATAACCTTTTCAAAATCCATTTTGTTTGTCTTTAACTTGTGATTAGTAAGCAAGCACATTCATGCACTTTTTATTCATGTGAGATCATGTTACTATTCTCCAAAAACCATGTTTATTAAGCTAGTCTATACTAGAACAACTTTTGTAAAAATGTGGTCGCTGACTGCAGGTAAAGAGAATGTTTTACGCCCTTTTGATTTACTCAGGCCTAGTACAAACTAAATACATGGACTCTGTGACATGTTAGCCTTAATTAGGCCAGGTCAGTGATCTATACTTTGTATCAGGGTTGGTGACTCCGCCTGAAGCCTGCCAACATTAGAAGGATAACAGATTTCATGGAGCATTCTCCGAACTGATGGGACTGCACCGTACCACTGCCTGTGCACCACCCGGTCATGGTTATGCCTACGTCTACTCCGGCCTAACACCGTGCTGCCGTGTCTGGAGAGCGGCCACCATGCCATTGGCCCAACTTCTACTTCCTGCTACCTGGACTCCAGCAAGATTTTTACGGTCAGGTCAGTCCAGTCCATATGGAGAGTCATCCATCTTGAAGAAATTTTACTCAAACATCAACGTTTTGATTAACATAAAAAAAACTGTAATCTTTTTACCTGCAATTTAATTAATTAGGCTTTTATCTCAAATTTTAACTTTAATATTTTATCCAAATTTTAATTCCGTTTTAAAATGTTTTATATATTTTTAACTTTCAATTTCATTCTTTCTTTTAATTCTGCTTCGCACTCCTTGATTGAGGGTAAAACTTTTTTTGCCCTTGACGGTTATTTTTTACCACTTGGAATATATTTTATAGGCTTTGCGAGGCGACCACATTTGTTGATAGGTGTAAGTGTGTTTTTCATGTTTGTAAATGTACAAATTATTTATTTTAATGTAGGCCTAGGGCTAAAGGTTTTGATTTTAATGTTTTTTATTGATTTTATAAGGTGGCCACCTAACCTAACTAAATTTAAACCTAACTAAAAAAAAAATTTGAATTAGTATATTTAAATGTTTTCGCTTTATGGCAATTTTAGGCCTAACTAAAATATAGAGTTTCTATTTTTAAATAAAATTGTTTTTTATTAAAGACATTTTTAAATATTTTTAAAAGCTTTAATTTAGGGCAATGCCTATTCAATGTTGTTATTTATTATTGTATTGTTATATCTTTATATATATTTTAGATTGAATAAATTTATATTTGTGTCCAGCCAGCTCTTGTGTTGTTATTGTTGGTCCTCCACTTCAGCAATATTGTGCCGGAATCCCACCATTGATTTTGCGCTTCCAAGGGCTTCACCCTTTTGATCAATGGAGTTGGGAATTCGGTTACAGTTACTCCCACTGCTTACCTATAGGTTGTTGACAAGCTAATGGGAGAAAGTATGTGTAAGATTGCTGATACCGTTTATTTTAAGTGGCCTTCATAATTCTACTTTAAACTAAACCTTTACGACTAGAAAAGGCTTTACCTTTGCTTTAAGAATAATTTGCAAAAGGTTCTAATCACCCAATAATTATTATCGTACTTATCAATTGTAGCAAATTACCTATTTTGTATATGTAGATTATTGCGTGTTGGTTTCAAAAATAACAACTAACTGTTTACAGTACATAAGTAACATAAATATTGGTTACACAAACACAGTCAACTACGATATTACTATTTCAACAGAATTTAAAATAAACTGAAAATAATTATTTGGATGGAAATAACAATGACCACAGAATACTCTCAGAACGTACTATATGTACGTACGTATATATATAATGTATATAACGCACGTTATATTATATATTTTCTTTTTTTTATGATTTTACCCAAGTAAAGCAGGTACTAAATATATAAATAACAGCCAAAACTTGGGTTTAACAAAAAGAGGTTTACAATGAGTATTATATTCAACATTGAACACAATTCTAATACCGTTTTTACAACACTAACACTTTAAACCTTAACAAATAATGTATAACTTATGATAATTTACAACAGACTAGATCAATTTGGCTACTAAAAGGTTGTTATGGTCGATATTTCAACCTAAGCATTTTTATGGAATTCAAAAATCCAACTGGAGATTACAGCCTACTATTGTTGACTGTAAATCCTTGAGGATCCACACCAAATCCAGCTTTACAGTCAACGCTACTAATTAAAGAATAAATAGCTGTTTTTGTTTTTGTCTTATTTATTACAAATCAATCAGCCCCAAACCACATGACTGCATGTCCTAACGTTGTATGTCCAATGTGTAACAATATTCAATACCAGTAATAAAAAAGTGTCATCAGCAAGCATAATGGTCTGAAGAATTTGTGCATTATGCTTGATCATTTACGGTAACAAGAAATAAGATCGGCCCTATAACTGAACCTTGTGGAACACCAAATTTTATATAAGAAGCAGTTAGTTGTTGATATTTTACCATCTACATCAACAATCGTATACCTTTTCATTACATGTATGACGTAATGAATCTAGTTGAAACCCACTGATACCGATGTGGTTTAATTTTCCACCAAGGATTGAATTATTGGCAAAACCAAATGACTTGCTCACTACTCAGACCATCAGTCTGTGATGTGAACAAGGATTTTCCCTCTAAAGCATCAATTAAGTAATCAACAATCGTTAAAACCACATTTGTTGTAATTGTTCATGCTTGATAGCTAAACCCACACAATTAGAACTCAATCATTCATTCAACGGTTTCCTATGTGATTTAATAAAAAAGCAAATATACAGTTGTGTCATATTCCTTAAAAACAAACTACAATCATAGACTAACCAACACAAGTAGACTTCTCATCCCATTGTAAATTTTGAAGCACGTTTTTCGTGTCTAGTTCATGTACGTGACACATGGGCGCTAGTGTCGACGCAACTTTGTTTCTATTATTTTAGGGTTAATTTCTTGATTTGTGCTTTACTGTTTGGTTATATAACTAGGGGACAAGTTATTGTTCATGATTAGATCGTATTATTTGGTTAAACGAGGTTTTAAATGGCTGTAATAATGGGAAACAAATTGTAAACAAAACACGACCTCTACATAAACCGTACAGAACTAACAATAAAATTGTCTTCAGCTGTTCCATAAGGATGAGAAATCTACTAAGGGAGTATGTTTTATCTATGATACATTGTTATAAGGGAGAGCTCTATAGAATATTAGTATAGTTAGGGAAACTGTAATATCAATAGACATGGTTTAGCCCCTGAGCTGAATTGATGACTATAATATAATTGTACAATTACCTCGTCACAGCTCCGTAGTTTCCGTATATATTACGGCCGTTTCGGCATCAAAATGCCATCCTCAGATACATACATCCACCGGATTTGGCGTCGTCAAACTTGATACACAAACATAACACGATAACAAACATTTAAAACATAAAAAACGAAAGACAGGCCTGTCGCGCACATGATGAGTACGTGTACGGAAGCTGACTGGACAACTGCTAGTTCGTTTCAGCCGTTGCGGTATTATCTCTTGGACTTTGATCCCTTGGCTTGCTTCGTTTGATGATGTTATTGAAAATAGTGTGAGATTTAAATTGTAGTTGGTCATTTAATATGGATTCATTGTTGTATTTTATTTTATGAGTTTTATAAATCTCATATTCCTCGGGGGTGTCTAGACTATTTCCATTAATACAGGCGTGCATAATTTCTAAGCCATTGTCCAAATCAAGTAAGTCGTGATTATTGTCAACCAGGTGTTGTGCGAAAGAGGATTTTTGTTTGTCAGTTTTTCCGTTAGGGCGATGTTCTTTGTATCTAATGCTAAAGGAACGTCCTGTTTTTCCAATGTACGTACTCGGACAACTAGCGCATTTTATTTTATATACACCTGATTGGTCAGCTTTATTTGTATTAATCTTAGGTTTTAACTTATTTATAACTTTATTGCTGGTTCTTAAAGCTAGTTTAATTCCATGCTTTTTCAACTCATTCTTTAGGCAGTGTTGCAGGGGATGAGAATAATTTACGCAGACGAATTTCTTGTTTTGCTGGGTTAAATTCTGATTTGGAGTTTGTTTATTTTTGTACTTCTTTACTAAGCTATCGACCATTTGTCATACCCATTAGATAGAGCGATTTGCTTGATGATTTTGAGTTCTCTATTGTAGTTCTGTTCTGTCATCGGGACATTTAATAGGCGATATACTATACTATTGTAGGCGGCCAGTTTATGTGATACGGGGTGGTAAGAAGTGCTGTGGATGGTTTGGTTTGACGTAGTAGGCTTTCTGCTAAAATCTAATCTGTTATAAATCTTTTCTATTGTGATGTTCAGGAAATTTATTTTACTTGATTGCTCAGTTTCCATGGAAAAATCTAATTACAGCGCGCACTTCACAGTCGGCGGCAGTCTCAATTTTTGGCACCATTTTGAATTGCTCGAAACCGGATGTAAACAGGGCCGATTTTTGTCGAATTTCCGGCTAGGCCTAGCCAATAGATGCACATATACAGCGCAAATGTCCAAAATGCCAATCGCAGTGCTGGAACGGAGAAATTTAATAACGGTACTTACTTAAAAAACATGCCTCGTACAATTATATTATAGTCATAAACTGTAATACTCACTTATTTCATCACTTTGAACAATTTATTAAATTTTCTTTGGAATGAAGAATCTGACAAAAACAGCCTACGTTTTTCCTGATATGCTAGTAAACACCAGTAAATATTTACATACACAATTAAAACTAGAAAATTAAATACTCACTATTGATTTCACTGTATCCACTTCAATCTGAAAGATATAAGTTACGAAATTAATATTTATCAATCTTATCAGCCACATCGCCATAGGAGGGAGTACAATACTAACAGTTTATGTCAACTTGTAAACGTATTCGTCATTATCCTCAACAATTGCATATTATTTAAATAATTATGATTTAACTATCTAAGAGAAAAATTTGATGTTTATATCTGTTGTATTATAATAGCTACACAACCAAGTAGTGGCAATAGGAGAAAGATACCCCACTGTAGATGTTTTTTGGCCCAGTACTTTTAAAATTTTTGGCCAAAAAATGTCCGAAGCCCCAGGATAATTTTTTAGCCACTTTTCAAGAAACCCTGATCTTCACATACACACTTCTATACAAATATTTTATGTTTTTTTATACCAAAAAAATCTCTCGATTATGGGGATCATGTTTTAGCCACTTAAAAAAAATTCTGATCTTTGCGTATACATCCCTATACAAATGTTCCAACTCCATTAACATTTCAAATCCACATACATTCCCATATATTTTTTTAAAATCACGCGAGATTTGCACCAGAACTCGAACGCGCTCCCGGCACATGCTTCTCATCCCCAGCGGTGTAGTATATATATGTGTGTCCTACTCCCGGAGTCTTAGTTTTCGCCGATTGAGTCTTGACCCGCCAGTTCCTGCCGTCAGTGACTAGCGGTGGATACCGCTTTGGGTTTAGTTGTTACAAAATACCATATTAAAATTTAGACAATCAAAATGGCTTGCACCCTAAATTAATTTTAATATTGAAAAAAGAAAATGGGCTAAAAATGATTTAGAAAAAGACTTTTATAAATTGCTAAATAATAGTCTCTTTGGTCGAACAATTATGAATCAACGTAAGTTTCGTGATATATATCTTAAGGATGAGTCACTATTAACAAAATATGTCAATAATCCAAGGTTTGATTGTAGCAAAAAGTTTGATAACAATTTGCATGCTATACATTTAAATAAATTAGTTGTAAAGTTTAATAAACCAATATATTTGGGAATGACCACTTTGGATATTAGTAAAGTAATAATGTATGATTTCCACTATAATTTTATGTCAAAATTTTAGAACAACAGATTTCTAATGACAGACACTGATTCTGTAATATATTCTATAGTTACAGAGGACTTTTACAATGAAATAGAATGTGATTTGCACTATTTTGATACCACTAGATATAGTAAAGACCATTTCTTATATTCTGATAAAAATAAAAAGTCACTGGCAAGTTTAAAGACGAATTCAATGGTCATATTATGTATGAATATTGTGGTTTAAGACCAAAGTTATATTCTTATTTTCCTCTAAATTGGTTATATGAAGAAGACAAGCAAGCTTTTGAGGTGAAAAAAGCTAAAGGAGCTAATGGTACCACAGTTAAACATCTCCTTAGACATCAACATTATTTGAACTGTCTTGCAACTGGGCAAGATTACTATGAGAATGTGACAAGAATTAAATCTACAAACCATCATCTTCAAACCTTGACCATGAACAAGAAAGTTCTATCCTTTGACGATGACAAGAGGTTTATTCTAGAAGATGACATCAATACTCTTGCTCTTGGTCATTATAAAATTAATCAAACATAGTTAGGACTGTTGGGATCAATTGTATGTGTAGATATATTTAATGCTGCAAAATAAATGCAAATGTTAAAAAAAAACTTCAGTCTTTCATTTATTTACTTTTACCGCCCTTTTGATAGAATTGGTCAAACATAAATCTATATTTGACATTATTCTTTGACCTTTCTTTGTCTATCACAAAAAAAGTTATATTTAGTTTTATCCCAACATTGATGACAGAGATTTTAAATTGGTCAAATGAAAAGTCATTACCAACATGATTGTGATATACATGCTTTAAATTTAAATCATCTTGTTTGAATAATATTAGGAAATTTACATTATCACGTAAATGTTTGAGTACTTTGCTGTAAGATTGACACAAGTAAAAACAGTTAATATTATAATGTCGACCCATTGAGAAAAATTGTGTAATATTTTGACTATTTATGTCATCAAATTCAACAAATGACTGTGATTTGACACCATTTCTTGTTATTTCAAGTCAGTAAACGTATGTAACTTCACTTCATCACACAAACTAAATATTTCAATTATTTTTTTTATATTTTTCTTGTTCTAAAGATTTAGATATTAAACATATAAGTTTTTAAATTTTAATCCTTCCTTTCTTACAATTAAATTATAAATTGCAACCGTCTTCCCACTTCCACTTGGACCACAAATAACACATCGAATATTGGTAGGAAATAGACCCAACTTCTTTGGTAAATTTTCCTTAATATGTACTATTTCAATTTGTGTTTTTGTTGAATAAAAGACATTTTTATATAATAAAAATGGTAAAAAATGATAAGAAAACATGTAAAAAGGGCAAAGGTTTATTCTTAAAGCCTTACAGGGGTCGAGGGTTATTAAATACTCTTATAAATAACCTTCCATTCAGTCTCCACGTGCCATCGTATCGGTACTGTGGGCCTGGAACTAATATTTGTGAATTTCTAGCCAAAAAAAATAAGCTAGACTCTTATTGTAAAGATCATGACATATTCTACATGAATAATCCCGATACCACTGCTCGGAACAAAGCAGACATGAGATTAGCAGAATTAGCTTGGACTAGAGTTACTGCCAAGGATGCAAATCTCGCTGAAAAGGCAGTTGCTTATGCCGTGACAAATTTAATGAAAGCTAAAGCAAAAATGGGAATGGGGTTAAAATTTAATAAAAAAGATGGACAACTACCAGCTGTTAGAGGCCGCAAAAGACTTGCGTCACTTCTGAGGGGTGTACCTAAAAAACGAGCTAAAAAATCTAACACCAAAAGTAAAAGAGTGCGGAATAGTTAATTTAGACCGTTCATCTGGCACACATTGGACAGCATATCGTAAAAATAAAGATATTGTAATTTATTTTGAACCATTTGGAATCCAACCTCCAAAAGAAGTAATTAAATATTTTGAGGGACATCTACTATACAACCGATCAAATACAAGATTTAAATAGTTCTATTTGTGGAATTTTATGTTTATCATTCATAACAAAATGTTGTTTATAAAAATGGATTCATTTACTATAACATTTTCGGGTACAGATCCAGAGCATAAGTCAGTGTTCTTTCCTCCCATATAATTAAATGATGATTATGTAATTGGATTGGTAGATTTTCAAAGTTATAACTCTATATTTAATGTTAAAAACCCTCTAAATACTTAACACACTACAAAGTAGAGATACGTCTAATTTATGTATAATATACAGCAACCGGATTTACCTGACCTATGATTATTCTGAAACATAAGAATAAAAAAAAAAAAAGATTTTGTTACTTTTGCATCAACTTTTAATAAATACCGCTAAATACAGATCGGAGATAATCTTTTCAATTCGTAGATGTGAGACGCATAAAATACGTATATTTTACGTATTGAATTTTACCAAACATAAAATGGATATGTATGTCTAAAATATACGTATATTATACGTAGTGTGCTGTGTTGGAGCCAGAAAAACAATGCCAAAGTTTGGGAGGAGTTATGTGCACGTTCCAATAAGTCATTTGCGTGCCAAAAACTAGAGTACATATTTTGTAGTCTGGGCTTCATTTACCATCATCTTCATCTTCCTTTCGTCTCTATACGGGAATAATGAGCGTACATCTAGTACATAGTTATATACTTAATAGATAAACTGCATGCCTCAATAACCTTTTTTCCAACAGTTCGTACAGTCACCTGACAAAGTGGGCTTCCTTGCACAGATTATAGTACAGAAATCCTTAATTTTTGCGCACACCAGTATTCTAATTAAACAACACAAAGCAGCTTGCTTTTGTTATGAACGTAATCCGTGTACGCTTGCAAAAAAGGTTGGCAACCCCTATGTCGACTACACGATCAGCTGGTGCAGCGTTTCCCATTTAGTTCAATGTTTGGTATTACCCTAACCTAAAAACGTGTTGTACAGTGTTTTTAAAGACAAATTATATATATGATTTATAGTAACTCTAATAAAAATATAATGTGTAACACGAGTGTGCAGCAAAGTACCACTTCGCCCACTAGTAACAGAAATAACTATTTAAGAATATAACGGATAGAGTATTTTTATACATGCATCAGTGAGCGCCTCATATTATTCGAAATAGGTAGTCTTATAAGTTAGAATTGCTTTAAAGAAAGATTTTTTCAAACTAAGAGGTCCACTTACATTTTATTCCTGAAACCAAAGGCGGTTGAGTAGTGGCAACAGGAGAAAGATGCCCCACTTTAGGTGTTTTTTTGGCCCAGTACTTTTAAAATTTTCGGCGAAAAAAATTTCCGAATCCCCAGGATAATTCTTTAGCCACTTTTTCAAGAAACCCTGATCTTCACATACACACTCCTATACAAATATTTTATGTTTTTTAAACCGAAAAAAAACCTCTAGAATATTGGTAATCATGTTTTAGCCACTTAAAAAAATCCTGTTCTTTGCCTATACATCCCTATACAAATGTTCCAACTCCATTAACATTTCAAATCCACATACATTCAAGTATATTTTTTTCAAAATCACGCGAGATTTGCACCAGAACTCGGTCGCGCTCCCGGCACATGCTTCTCATCCCCAGCTAAGTTAGCTTATAGTTAAGGTAGTAAGGCTTCTAAAATCCTATACATTCTTTTTCATTAACTAATTTTCCATTTTGATCCATTGAATATTTTATAAATTTAATTCTCCTAACTAAAGTCCATTTTATTGGCAGAGGGCAAGACTTAAGAGTATTTTCAAGATCAGCTCTAATCGGTTCACCAACAAATTTTATTATTGTGTATGGACAGTTATTATTGCAAGAGTGTATGTGTCTTCTAAAATGTCCAACAACATCTTAGGGATGTATAGGCAAAGATCAGGATTTTTTTTTAAAGTGGCTAAAACATGATCCCCATATTCTAGAGGGTTTTTTTGGAATAAAAAA